CCACTCTAGGATAGCCTGTTCTCTAGTTGGTTCTTCAACATATTGTCCATAAAAGCATCCCGTTTACGTTCCAGAAATTCCTTCTCCACATGATAATTACTATTTTGGTTTGCTCAATCTATCTGCAGATTAAAATCATCAATAGTTACAGGTGTTCCTTTAATGTGTGTGTTTCAAATTTTCTGCTTAATGCCATTCCCAACATCATCCCTACAGTTTTTAAATGCCTTTTTATTTTCTATTTAATAAATTATTAGTTAATTCAAATAGATTATAGTTATAGAGAAATTATGAATCATTGGCATTTAACTCTACTAGTTAAAAGTCTACCTCTTTATAAAATTCCTCTCACACATATACAGAGAGACAAAATAATTGGTGTTATTGGTTGAGGGAACAACTGCTTTTATGGACAATATGTTGAAAGCATTTCAATGGCCTCTGTTGACAGCCTTTGCTAAGATGGTCTTTTTCACTTGCCTGAACTCGCTGCTCATCGACCTTCTTTTCCAAGTCCTTTCACTTGCTTGCAGGAGTCACAGAGTGAACAAGTCACACTGGACTCGAAACATTACCCCCTTGCTCTCATCACAGATGCTGCCAGACCTCTTGAGTTTCTCCAGCATTGTCTGTGTTTGTTTCAGATTTCCAGTATCTGCAGTACTTTGCCTTTATTTGATCAGTTTAATATAGTTTTTGAAGAAGTCTGCGTTCTTCTTTACAAGGCATTTAACTGTTTGGGACTTTACATTCAGTTTATCCATTCAACTGAAAATATCTTGGTGAAAGAATGATGTTTTGGAACCCCGAAATGGTTATAAATTTCTTAAATGTCTCATTGGCAAACTGTGATCTGTTATTAAATGTAGCCACATCTGGAATTCTATGAGTGGTAAATATTTCACTTTGGACCTTGATGACTAAAACCACAGTGGTGGAATATCATCTCTACTTTGACCGATTGAGAGAAATAATGTCCGGTATTAAGTAACATCATCCTTCAAACACAAACAGCTCCCATAGTCTGGTGGGAATAAATGGTGGCATTGTGGTGACAATGGTGACAACCTGTTATGATATCATCTATCTGTTTAGTGATTCCTGGCCACCTACTGAAGCTCAAGCTCTAAATTAAGGTACCCTTATTGTATCTTGCTACGGATACTGGTTCTTAGTGGAGGAAGGATAACAAGACTGTTCTCAAAAATTAATAAGTTGTCAACAATAGTGAATCGTTGTCTGCAATCAAAATACTTCTCGTAATTAAACCACATTTATTTTCAGAGACAACAAGGTGTAGAGCTGGATGAACACAGCAGGCCAAGCAGCATCATAGGAGCAGAAAGGCTGACGTTTCGGGCCAAGACCCTTCATCAGAAATGCATACTTCTTTTCTGGCCAAACTTTTATGATCTTTTGACATGTCGCATTCAAGTTCCATTTAAAGATCTTCTCTGATGAGGTTAAGATTTGTTTGTGTTGCTGGCGACAACATATTTGTTGCTAGAGTGCATGAATTGACTTCACTAGCAATTTCTTTACCAGCTCATGAAACGTTGGCAACAGTCACTCGAGAGAGGTCATCTATTGATATTTGTAGTTTCCCTTTCACATATTTGCTTTTGTGTATGCAAATAGCATAAGGCAAACACAAAACATCCACGGGGAGATTTTTGCCAATTTTTTTTGCAACTTACCATGAGACAAGTAAATTATGATCCATCTTTGAAAGAACCACAAGCCCCAGTAAATAAGTTGAAAATCTCTCACAGGCTTGCAGGAGAGGATTTTCTTTTCAGTAACTGAATATTGAGTTTTAGTATCAGAAAATGCTTGGGATGTATAATCCTTTTCTGTATCTTACCAACCATTCCTGAAGAGGGCTGTTTCAATCCCTGCGGCTGAAGCATCAGCAGCAATAATAGCCAGAGATGACAGATGTTGATGAGCCAGCACACCTTCATAAGTCAGCATTTCTTTGATTTTCTTGATGTGCATCTCAACACTATCCTTGTTTTGAATAAGTGTCTCAAGAATTCAGTGATGACTGCCAAGTGGAGTAAACATTTTTTCCAATTGGTTCATCATTCCCAGAAATCTTTTTGAGTCATGTACTATCTTTGGAATAGAAAACGCTTCTACTATCCATTAAGCCATCTTTTTCAATGATATGCCCCAGAAAATCAGATAATCTGAGTCCTTGGAAAACTCACATTTCTCATCGAGGGTGAAATCTACTACCCACAGTCATTTCTTGACAATATGTTCTCTTTAGTCATGAATTTCTACCATTTTTGTAAGGATCAGTATATCATCTTTATGACATATAAATATCCTCCAAACCTTGTAAAATGTTAGACATAGTACATTGGAAGATCTCTACAGCCAAGGCAATTCCAAATGGCACCCTGTTAAAACATTGGTTTGGGTTTGCTGATGGCCAGATATTCACTGGAACTGTGCAAATTGGAGTTGGGTATCAGGAGCTTGCAGAATCTTAAACCCAGCAGATTCTGTGGGAAATGCATGGGAAATCGAAGAACCTGAAGGACAGTTCCCTGGCATCTGGAAACCTCCAAAGCAATCCTTCGAAGTCAGAGAATTCAGAAGGTTCCCTTTTACTTATGTTAGCGGTTATCCAGGGAAATTAATCAAATAAAAATGTAATCTAATCCTGGACACCCATTAAACTCACCAGTCAACCCAGCACTCAGCCCTCTCAACAACAAACAGAACTCCCAAACACAACAAGATTCCAGCATCCTCACCAACAACCACACCCCTCCCACCCTGGGACCCAACAGTACTTGCTCCTAACACCAAATCCTGTGACCCAAAAACAGACCCAAACCTCCCCTCTCCCTGCTGGATCCAAACCGCCTCTCCTTGCTGGACCTGAACACCGCTCTCCCTACTGATCCCAAACTTCGCTCTCCCTGCTGAACCCGAACCCCCCTCTCCCTGTCGAATTCAAACTGCCTCTCCCTGCTGGACTCAAACCACCTTTCCCTGCTGGATCCGACCCCCACTCTCCCTGCTGGACCCGAGCCCCACTCTCCCTGCTGGACCCGAACTCCCCTCTCCCTGCTGGATTCAAACCACCTCTCCCTGCTGGACTCAAACCACCTTTCCCTGCTGGACCCAAGTCCCACTCTCCCTGCTGGACCCGAACACCACTCTCCCTGCTGGACCTGACCACTCCTCTCCCTGTCAGACATGACCCCCTCCTCCAGATGCAAAAATACCCCACCCATCTCTGCACTTGATATCCCCACCAGCACCCCTCCCCCCGCCGCCGCATGATGCAAACATCCATTCCAAAGCACTTACTGACTCCCCTGTAAACCTCATACTCCCTCTCATCGAATTCAGCTCCTCTTCTTCCCACCAGCCCAAAAATATCCGAGACACAACCTCCCCAATACTCCACCAATGTGGCCCAATAACCCCTCCTCTGCCAACACTTCCCTTCCACACCACTAGCTTTGCCAGAACAATCACCTCTCGCCTCCACCATCTGATCTGACAACGTCTTCCCTGAGGAATTTGATACCCACCCCTGATTGCAATCTACCCTGGGCTCCATCACTAACTTGGCACCCTAGAACCCTATGTACCTAACATCCTCTGTATCTGCCACCCTATCCACTTGGCATCAATTGACTTGCCACCTAACCCACTCAGTATCCCCTCACCCAGCACCCTAACCCCAGAACCAACTGCCATTCTTATCTCACATTCACCTATGTAGTTATCCTTTCACAGAAACAGCCAAAGTGACTGGCTGGGAGATAGTAAGGACTGCAGATGCTGGAAGCTAGAATCAATAAATGTGGAGCTGGACAGCATCTGAGGAGCAGAGCTGACTGGCTGTGCTACTGGATATTTAAATCACAGACCACTGTGACTAGCTATGGCAAAATGTACAGTGTGACTTCCTTTAATTACCCTATGCTACCATGTTTAAATTCAGGTACACTCTACATTTTTGAAGGAGCCAGGACTGAATGACTAGATAGAAGTGAAAATTTCAGTTCTATCGGAAAAGAAAACTTAAATGAGAGTGGCAATCTGGCTGTGATTCTCACATCTCAGGATATCCAAATCAATTTCTCTGAAACCAAGTATTAAAAAGGGTCTCCTCTGAGGAAGGGTCACTGGACCCGAAACGTTAACTCTGTTTTTACCTTCACAGATACTGCCAGACCTGCTGAGCTTTTCCAGCAACTTTGTTTATGTTCCTGAGTCACAGCGTCTGCAGTTCTTTCGGATTTTATTTTGTCCATCCAATGGAACCTGCTGTCCATGAAATAGGCAAGAAGTGGCCCCCAATTAGCCATTAATTGGCCACATGAGGGTCCCAGTTGTCACAAGAGTGCCTGATACCTCTCTCACTACTCATAAGATTGTAGTGTCGGCAAGAGATGGTAGACATGTGCCAGGAAAGATGAGCAAGGCACATTACAGGCTTTTGTGGCTGCAAACCTATCTGCAGGGAAATATGCCATTGGATTGGAATCAAAAACACTATTTTGGGGGTGATAGTCAATACTGTGCAGGTTTGAAGCAGATCCCAGGACGACACTCAAGAAACTGAAGAATGGGTAAATAATTGACAAATGCAGTTCAACACTGTTAAATATAAGATAGTACACTTTGGTAGAAAGAAGAGACGCTACTTATTCTTTGGAAGTTACACATCCAGGTTGAGCAAAGGATATGAACCTATGAATTAGGAGCAGGAATAGGCCATCAGTTCCTTCACCAATCTCTACCATTCAATGCACTTATGGCTAATCTTATCAGAATGTCAACTCCACTTGTTTCCTGACAAGATACCAGCAGCAACATGCAACTCTGTAGCTTTTATTAATGACACGTCATTACTGTTGACAAGAACATTCCCTTTCCATATTGGGTGTCGAGCTTTATATAGTTAAGTGCAGATCAAGCATTCTCTGAAAACTGTTGTTTGTAATTATTTATGCCCTATGTGGTACTCTAAAGAGAAGACACCATAAACAAGAGGCTTCGCAGTGTAACAGACACCATAAACAATCCAATTTTTCCTATTTTGTAGCAAGGCCCACCTTGTAGCCCTAATGACGGTTTTCAATGTAGGGATCAAATCTTCCATGAGGTCAGCTTGGTAACCCTTGTCTTCAGGCTCTTGGTCCACCTCAGCAGCAGCATCTACACAGCAACAACAATGACTTTGTTAATTACCACAGTTTTGTTTATAGTAATCAACACCTCCATCCAATTTTATCATCAGCTGAAAATTTGCAATATTATAGAGTGCAAGTTCCAAATAAAAAAGCTGAGGTCATGTTTTTTCTACTCAGGAACTCACAAGGATGTTAGAAACAACAGAGATGACACAAGTATCATCTCTTACTGCATTTTAGACTACTGGTAAATATAGTTCTGTTGAAGTACCTAACCACCGTGCTGGGACTTGTAAACCAAGAAGATCCCAGGTTAAGTTCATTATTTAGTTCCTGAATTAGCCAATCCCAGTCAGGAAACCATAAGTGGCCTCAAACTAGCACAGGAAAAGCTTAGCTAGGATCCCCATGTCTGTATGTTCGCTAGCTCGACTCGCTTGATACCATTCATGTCTCAGACCCACAAGAGTGTAGATTTGAGAACAATTGAAGTGTTTGAACTCATAATCTAGCTTTTCACTATATTGGACCACTGACTGCACATTCAGACTTTTCATTTTCATGTCTAATAGTAAGTCAATTCACATGCTTTGATAAATGTTAAAAGGTCTCAGTGCACTTGGAAAACAAACAAAAGTTTTCTTGATCAATGTTCCTTCCTTTAATCAATAACCACCAAAAGATATTAACTGGTACTTCAGTAAAAGCAAAATACTGTAATCCTGGAAACCTGAAAAAAAAATGGAAAATGCTTGAAATACTCAGTTGGTGTGTCAGCAGCTGGGCAAAGAGAAACATAGTTAATGTTTTGAGTATTTCCAGAACTTTTTTTAAAATTGGTAATTCACCCCATTGCTGTTGTGGTCCTCTACTGGATACAAATTTGCTGCTGTATTTGCCATAATAAGAAAGCTCATGACACTCCTTTGGAGATAATGTTCCTATGCCCTTAGAGACTGGTTTTGAGGTAGCTGTGCGGGAAAATTGGAACAGAAAGAGCTTTTCTGGGCTGATCTGGCCACTCTTCTCCAAGGTGGACTGAGGGACACTGGTAACACACACGAAGCACCTGTGGTAAGCCTACTGAGATTGTTTAAGAAACAATTAATTGCCATTTTCTTAGGCCAATTAAATATTACAGTGGCACGTGGCCCACGTAGTGCATGTAACTTGCCAAAACACGAGGTGAGCAGGAAGTCAAAGTACCATGGCAATGACACGAAAATGGAAACCCTCAGGTCATCCGGAGGCAACAACCTGCCAATACAGTGTCATTGACACTGCTGTCATGCTTGGTGCTCTTGCAACAGAAAACACTAGCCTTCGCCTTTTCTTACATTTAATATGCTCCATCCTCTTGCGTGCTTGTCTCCTCAGCAATAGTTCACTGCAGCCACAGAGAAGGCTGTTAGCCATGGTTTAAATTGTGTGCTTTGATTCACTGATTCACCCCCTTGCCTCCTCAATATGCCTGCTGTCTCAAACTGAATGGTGATCCCAGAGGCAGATCGTTATTTGGACTCCCTTCCAGCACATTGATCCAGAAAGCACGGTACTCTTATCTCCAGGTTATGGACCCAGAAATTATGTAATCTCCCATTTAAAAAGTTAAGGTGACAAAATTCAGCCCCTTGTCTCTGAAGTGCTTTGAAATGTTTCTGAGAGATATGATAAGCACTTAGTAAATATTAATTTAAACCTTGTTTCTATTAACCAATAGAAAATGATATTTTGGGAGATGAGGAAAATAAATAGTACCTTCTGAGCTCTGCCTGAAGCCAAAGGCTTTAATACGAACTGCAGCTCGAAGGTCACTGAAACCCAAACTCTTCTGATCCTTTGAAGGACTATCCTCTACTCCGTCGGTGTTTTGAGGTGTAAAAAACTTGCTCTTAACATTGCCACCTCTGGGTCCAGCACTACGAACACGTTCGAAAAGGCTCAGCTTCTGACTGTGATGAAAAAAATTACAGTGGAATGTTTTTGAAGTATTTATTATTTAATATTCTCCCATGGAAACTGTTCAGTAATACTGGAACAAAAACAAAAGTTGCTGGAAAAGCTCAGCAGGTCTGGCAGCATCTGTGAAGAGAAATCAGAGTTAACGTTTCAGGTCTGGTGACCCTTCCTCAGAAATGATGGTAGCTAGGAAAACATCGGTTTATATGCAGAAGATAGGGTCGGGAGAGGGGGTAAGGAGTAAATAATAAGTGGGGATACAGCCCAAAGACAGAGAAGATCAGTCGGAAAGACAACAAGTTGATAACAATCTGGCTAGGAGGGTGAATAAATACTGATTTCTCATCAAAGATTGCAAAAAGACTAGCTGTGGCTCAGTGGTAGAACTCTAAGCACTGAGCCAGGTGGATATAGGTTCAAGTCCAACACCAAAGGCTCCAGCAAATCAACACATTTGACACTCTAATTTGACAGTGATGGAGTTCTACACTGGCAGATGTAATGGCTTTTGGAGGAGACGAGAAGCTGTGGGTCTATCTACCCTTTTCAGTCAACTGTATACTATTATTATGAAGAACTGAAGAGCTTTACTGAGTGCCCAGGGCAATATTTATTCTTCAATTAAAATCACTAAAAACAAGACTAACTTATCATTCCCATATTTATGTTTGTGGGACCTCACCCTGCTCTAAGTGGCTGCCACGTTTCTTAAAACTGTGGTGACTCTGATTTTCTGAAGTCAATACACTACAAGTGTCCATCATTCTTTGAAAAGAGGTGAGGTAGAGTGTTTTCTGGAGAGTTGAGGCACAGTTGCTATTTCTGCTTTCTCAATAGAATTTGTGACCAATCAAACTTATTTTTACTTACAGGTCATTCTTTGGAAAAATTCCAATATGATGTAGCTAAAGTATCCTGAGCTTATATTCAAAATAAAACTGCACAGGCCCTGAAAATTTTAAAGCATTTTTGTTCTTTTTCTGTTATGTCTTTCCCCAGTCCATAATACTGAAAGGTATTCTGTATAGGAATGTATGCATAAATATTGAAGCAAATTACATCCATTCGTGGATTTAGTTTAAAAACAGCATAAAAGATAGAGACACATTGATAATGTGCATTATTTCTAGCAACTGAAGCCAATCTGTGTTTAATAAATATTGCCCTGGGCACTCAATATTTGGATTAATTATTGTGAAAACTGCGACTGCCCACCACCTGGTGAATTCATATTTTAGGACATAAAAGCCCTTCTGAATGCAGAAAATAACCACATTCTTAAAATATTGCATTCCATGTTATAAAACAAATGACATTCTTGAACTAGCTGGCACTCTTTTTCACAGGTTTGCAATGGCAATGCTGATGTACCAGTTGAAAATGAGAAGCTGCTGAAATATAAGATGCAACGAGGTATATTTTATTCAATGTGATGAAAGAAAACTGAGGACAGTAGATTATACAGCTGCTCCTTTTACTTCAGTTACTAGAAAGACAGTTGAGTGATTGTTGGAGATAGGAAGAGAGAGAGAGAAAGAAAGTGAATGTACCTGGGAATGAAAAAAGATCAATTGAAGGTTATGCAATGGGGCATTTTTTTAAAAACTCCATCTGTTATCTTGTTACAAAAATTCAATATTTATAGGGAGGAACGGAGGTGGCTGGGACAGGGTTGAAGTGGTTAGGAAACCCAAAATGCAGGCAGTGTGGTGGCACTTTTGGAAAACAATCTTCATTTCCTGTCTGCCAGATTGAGAGGCAATTGCAAGGAATGGCATGCACGGGGAGGCTACAGCCAGGGAGTGGAGGGGTACAAGGGATATTTGTGAAAGAAATCATGAAAGCTACTTGTGTGTGGGGGGTTGGGTTTTGTTGGAGGAGGCTCAATAATGTCGGGAGGGAAGCAGGTTCACATGGAAGTCCAGTAGGAAAGCACTTTTATGGCATTTTGCCCAAAAGCAGAGCTGGAAAGGCATGAACATACAGGATTCAGATTTCCTCAGCTCCCTTCAGCTGCTCAGTTTCTTGATCCCTGGAAAACCCAGCCTCCAGCACTTAAACCTGAAAGTATGTAAACATTACAGGAACAAACTCATTGGCACATTTAAGCAACACTATGCATCCCACCTCACTTAGATTGGTCAGTCATTTGCCCCTACTCACCTTTGTTAAATCAGGAAGTTTACAAGTGCAAGGCTGGTTGAGATCAGGGACACAAAGGTTTGAAACTTCCACAATCATCTCCTCCAACCCTTCCCCCTCCTCTGCACCCTCCTGACCTGACCTCTCACTCTGCCGAGCATCTCCCAACATGGAGGTTAAAATTTTCCAGTGAGAATTAATATCCACTGATTTCAAGTAATAAATAATTTGATTTGTGAATGGCCTCATTCCGCTCTTTTGGGCTGACAATGTTTCTCATTCAAATGGCAAAATGGGTTATAGGAAGGCACTACACTAATTTTATGATATAACTATCACCAGTTGTAATTGTTTTCACAGCCAACTGTAAGTGTATTCTTTACAGCATAGTCTCTCTTGGTAGGTCAAAAATGAAAACCTCTACCTATTAGATACACATATTAAAAACATTATCTATCAACATCACAACACAAGGACTGTTAGTGAGACCAGAGATTGTCATTGATATTAAAATACAGGTAAACTCTCTTGTTTCAGACTAGAAAGCTGAATCCATTCTTCATTTGATCACTGAGCAAAGGCTATTTTGCTTCTTTCCATTGCACATGTGCAAAGAAAAATCAATGCTATTAAAGGATATTCCCCAACTCAACAATTCACCACTTAATTTATTTTAGTCCTTCACTGTCTGTTTCTGCCTAACACAGAACAGTTCCTACTCCAGTACTATTCAACATTTGCATCCTTTCATACATTATTCCTCTCTTCTAGTAATCTACTAATTCTGCTAATTAAACTCAAACCATCTTAAATGACACAAGTAAACTTCCCCATGAGGTTGGTGATCCCAGACCTGCTGGAATGCAGTCACATTGAATAGATACTTACTGCTCCAATTCCACCAGAATCTGAAGTCCTCTATGTGTACCTTATTTCATACTGCCCACTGTTTCTCCCTAATATTCTATTTCTACTCTGTTTAGCACATGGCATTAGGAACAATTCGATGATTATTATTTTTGACATCCTACATTTGAATTGTCTCCCTAGATCTCTATGTCATTGGTACTATTGTGTATCACAACTCTGGCTCACTCCTTTCCCACTGCAGAATATTTTTCATGCCCTTGTGTCTGGCACTAGGGAGGCACCACAATATATTAGGCTTACTATGATGGTCACAAAAAAATGTCTGCCTATCCCCCAATACATGAGATCTCCTCTAATGACAGCATTGCCACACTCTGCTATGCTTCTGTGCAGTCTCTTGCCTGTGGGTGCCAGATTTGACTGCAACGTTTCAAGTTGTCTTCACTCCCAATATTATCCATCACTGAGTACAGTTTGAGAATGATACAAGTCCTTAACATGACTGTACTTCCTGCCTCTTTCTTTTCTTCTAAATGGCCACTTATCCAATATCCTGAACTCTCTCTGCCTGTGGGATAGCCACCAACACGTATGAGGGACTCCAGCTGCCCTGCAAGTGTGAAGAGAGATTGTGCTCAGGCAGGGGGCAGACAATTTCTGAACACATGGTGGCTCATGACACCTGAGGATGCCTGCAAACAACATGTCTCAGCTATAATTGAAGTTTAGGTTGGACTGAATTCAAATCTTAACCAAATTTTAGAAAGAAATCAATCATTAAAATTCCTGTTGACAACTCCATTGAAAAGCAGTGCACTGTAATACTAGATCACTGCAGTGTGCAAGTCTCTAGATTTAAGATTATTCCTTTGAGCATGAATTGGAAAACAGCATGTAAGGGATAGAAACCTCCCATCATTATCTGTTCTGGTCTATAATAAATTCCATTGCCACACCAACATAGTTGATTCTTAACTGCCATCTAATTGGCCAATCAAATCATTACATTTCATCAAACCAATATTCACTGGTTCACAAAGAAAGCTCAGCACAATTTTTCTGGACAGTTAGAGATGGGGAATAATTGTGAACTCTAATGTCCTGAAAATGAATACATTTTTAAAAGTCATCAGTATTAGAAATGAAAGTTGTTGTTCCAAATGTATCTAATTAAACCAGACCATCATTTACGTAAATGATGTGGATGTGAACATTGGAAATATAGTTAGTAAGTTTGCAGAATGCACCGAATTTGGTGGCGTAATGGACAGCAAAGAAGGTTACCTCAGAGTACAACAGGTCTCTGATCAGCTGGGCCAATGGACCAAGGAGTGACAGATGGAGTTTAATCTAGATAAAAATGAGGTGCTACATTATGGTAGGACAGCAGAACTTATACACATAATGGTAAGGTCCTGGGGAGTGTTGCTGAACAAAGAAACATTGGTTCCTTGAAAGTGGAGTTGCAGGTAGACAGATTAGTGAAGAAGGCCTTTGTGGTGCTTGTTTTTATTGGTCAGTGCATTGAGTATAGGAGTTGGGAGGTCATGTTGCGGTTGTACAGGTCATTGGTTATGCCACTTTTGGAATTCTGCATTCAATTCCATTCTTCCTGCTATAGGAAAGATGTTGTTAAACTTGAAAGGGTTCAGAAAAGATTTACAAGGATACTGCTGGGGTTGGAGGATTTGAGCTATAGGGAGAAGCCAAATAGGCTGGGGCTATTTTCCCTGGAGAATCAGAGGCTGAAGGGTGACCTTATAGAAGTTTATAAAATCATGAGGGCCATGGATAGGGCGAATAGCCAAGGTCTTTTTCCAAGGGTAAGGGAGTCCAAAACTACAGGGTATAGGTTTAAGGTCAGAGGGGAAATATTTAGAAGGAACCTAAGGGGCAATTCTTTAATGCACAGGGTGGTGCGTGTATGGAATGAACTGCCAGAGGAAGTGGTGGAAGCTGGTACAATTACAACATTTAACGT